GGGGGGGGGGCAGACCAGCTTTAGGCATCACTCAATCATTCAAGCACTCAATCAATTCAGAAGAAATCAAGCAATCAATTCAGAAGATCAGTCCATCCATCTGGGAAGCAAAGCAAGAAGGTGATGGCGACCATGAGCGGCTGAGCTTTTCTTTTCTGATTAAAGGGGGATTTCTGATTCAATTGTGTCATTGTGAGGTTATGTGTTTAATTTAAGTTCTTGCTTCTAATTCAAGTATTCGTTGATTCTTGTGCATATTGATTATGGAAGTTAATACTGATTAGTCTAACAAATTAATTATTATTACTCTTTCTATTGCTATCCATGATTTGATGATCCGTAATTGTCACGAATAGTGGTACAAGTAGCAATTAGGTTATTATCCTACATGGGTCAATTGTTCATGATAGCCTTTGACCATTGTATGGGTATGTTTTAACCTAAGGGTAATCAACAGAACAAGATTCGATAATTGCAGCTATCTCAATTATTGTTATTTTGGTTTAACTGTTTTCACAAAGGTTATTGCTATCATTAATTGATATGGAACGCTATCGTACCCAGTCGGTTAATGATAAGTGTTGATCGAATGCTGGGTTTGGTCAACTAAATTAGGAAAACACGAGGTTTATTATGGCTATCCTAATAAATCCTAAGGTTAAATACTTGAATTGCAAGACTGCTGAAGTTTATCTATGATCAATGACCAATTGACTCAATTCGAACCCTTGGATCAGAATTCGGTAAGACTGAATTTTCCTCGTTAGTTGTTAATTGCTCTTTTGTTATTTTAGAATTTTAAATTATTCAAATTGCCCACTCTTTATATTGCACATTCGGCGGAGAAATTAATTACTGGCTCCCTGTGGGATTCGACCTGGTACTACAATTACTACAAGTTTATAGTAAGGTGGGACTAGAATTAATTTTGAGGGCTTCAACAACCCGTCAAAATTTTGGCGCCATTGCCGGGGAGCTACTTTAATTTCTTAGCTTTGTACCTTCTGTTTGTGTTAACCTTCTTTGTTTTATGACTCATGCTTCTCACCAAGGTGAACTAGAATATAACCCTGAAATTGAGAAGACCACCCGTCAGTTGAGGAAAGAGGCGAAACAAAGGAAGGACCGTTCACCTCCAAGGGTGAATTCTGAGATCGATTTGACAACTTGTGATCGACCCATTTTCGAAGAGGAAGAAGGGATGGCTGATAGAGAAAGAAGGCTAAGAGAGTTAGCTGCGCCAATCATGAATCAAAAGCCTTTATGCATAATCTATCCCACCCTCGAGGTAGCCTTCGAACTTAAATCGGGTTTGATTCAATTGCTTCCTATTTTTCATGGCTTTCCAGGTGAGGACCCTCATAAGCATCTTAAAGAGTTCAATGTCGTCTGTTCGAGCATGAAACCACGGGGTATGACTGAGGATCAGGTAAAACTTATAGCTTTTCCTTTTACTTTACGAGATAAAGCAAAGGACTGGTTGTATATTCTTCCTCCTAGTTGAATACATACATGGGATGAGATGAATAGGATGTTTTTAGATAAATATTTCCCTGCATCACGAGCTGCAAATATTAGAAAGGAGATTTGTGGGGTTCGAAAGTTTAGTGGTGAGACACTATATGAGTATTGGAAAAGGATTAAACAACTCTGTGCTAGCTGCCCACACCACCAAATACCTGAACAACTATTAATCCAATACTTCTACGAAGGACTCCAACCTATGGATAGGAGTATGGTAGATGCAGCTAGTGGAGAAGCCTTGGCCAATAAAACACCCGAAGCGGCTAGGGAATTGATTTCCAACATGGCCAAAAGTTCCCAACAATTTGGAGCAAGAACAGAGGGTTCTATCAGACATGTTAATGAGGTAAGCCATTCAAATTTGGAAAGTCAAATATCTGATCTAACTGCTTTGGTTCATCAAATGGCTACAGGGCAATTACAAACGGCAAGGGTTTGTGGCATATGCTCGATTCCTGGGCATCCTACGGATATGTGCCCATCATTACAAGATGGTTTGATGCAGCAGGTCAGTGTTGTGGGAGGATTTCCGAGCCAACCTCAACGCAAGTATGATCCCTATTCCTGTTAGACAGTTTTATATGCCCTTAGCTTCAATCCGATTTGATGTACTTTTGACAGTTAGTGTAAATAAATAAAGTGCATGTTTGATTCATGTTGTTTGGTATAATTCTGTGTAAGACYKKAAAACTAGACACTTATATAGACTCGTGTTAGTTTTAAATGTTCACAGCCATTGGATAAGTCTGGGGAGATTTATCCTACCAAGGCTGATACTGGTGTGCCACCAAGTGTTGGGATGGC